TTTTAATTTTTTTATTATAATTTAATTTAAGTTTAATAATGAAATAATTTATTTTTGGTTTAATAATATAACATTTTATAAAGTTATTAATTAAGTATTCTGTTAGAACTTAATGATTATCCTAATCATATTTTAGATTTTTTTATATTTAAAATAAGATGTTTATTTTGTATTTGATTGATTTTTAAAAGTTTTTGTCAAATGCTTTATAATATAATATAGATGAATCGTCATTATATTAATTATCAGTATTGAAAATCAAAATATATTTGTCATATAATATTATATATATATATATATATATATTTATACACACTATATACATATACACACACTATAAGCTTACTCTCACAATACAGCGAGATACATCTCAATTTTAATGTCTCGTTTTACAATATGGTTTTGAGAAAACGATAATGTTTTTTATATTTGAATAAAATATAAAATTTAAGACCCATATTTTTTTATCGTTTTTTGTATATTTTTTTAGTTTAATCTTATTATAATTTTGTTTAGGTTTAATAACGAATTAATTTATTTTAGGTTTAATAATAATTTTTTTATAAGTATTTTGTTAGAGCATAATATTTATCTTAATTATATTACATATTTTTTATATTTAAAATTAGATGTTTATCTTGTATTTTATTATATTTATCTGCAGTTACTTACACGAATTCAAACATAAATCTTTAATAAGTTGTACTTAAGCACATTCTACTTGTAATTTTAAACTTTAAGTAATATGCATCAATAAATAGTAATTTATGCATAAAAAAATGGTTTTTAAGAGTTTTTATCAAATACTTTATAATATAGTATAAATAAAAAATTAATCTGGGTCATATTAGGGGCGGGTAAGGCCATCCTCAACCCTGCTTCGAGTATGAACCTCTTACCCATCAAATTGGGAATCACCACGCCGTTAGGACATCCGTCACAACGGGTAAAATTGTCATCTCTACATCTTCCATTATCGCATTGATTTGATTTTTCATTATAAATTAATAATCATATATATATATATATATATATTCAATTTGGCTATCATACTTGTAAATACGAGAATAATTCTGAGTTAATTCATTCTTTAAATAATATCTTAAATAATTAATTCTAAATATAAATAAATATATAAAAGTAGGGGGGGTGCTAATGGCACCCTTATAGGGGTGTTGAATGTGTTGG